AAGCTCGAGTATGTCATTTACTCTGCACCTCTCCACTTTGTGTTTCTCTGTGTGCATGAGAGGACCAGCCATGCCAAGCTTTCTGCATGAAAGGGAGAGTGTTTAGCTTTTGAGGCTATTTGTGCTTCTGACTCTGTAGTGTTTGTGTCCGATGGGAGGTGCCTGCGCCAGCTTCCTTAAAGGAGTAGGGGGTTTTGTTTGTTTCTCCACCGTGCCAGGAGAAGTGACAGCCATTCCGGCTCTTTCACAGAAACACATTCATCTGTGTGAGAAAGGCGGCCGCTGAACTCAGATGAAAGGCCATGGGAGCAGCGTTGCACAGGAAGGCAGACTGTACATCGACTTCAGTACAAACACAACATAAGCCATGTCACAGACAGACAGAGGGAGAGGGATTCAGAGAGAGAAGGAGAGAGAGAGACAGAAAACGAAAGAAAGAAAGACAGAAAAAAGACAAAAAGAAAGAAAATATATTCCTTTCTCTAGCCATAGGAGCAAACAGCAAAGAATGGATCTATTAACTGGCCTTCCCACACAACATCATACTGATTATGTTTATGTTCTACTTATGATAATAAGGTGGACTGCACAGATCTGCATAATGAACTAAGGCAAACAGTGAGAGAAGGCCTTGTCACAAACAGTCTGTATTTATTTTTAGCCAAACAGACTGCATTTAAACATGATATCAAAATAAAAGCAGGAATCATGACACTGAATTATTTCCGGAACTCAACTTTAATTCACAACAGGCCACAAGAATCTACAAAAAAACTATAAGGACAAAATTAGAGTGCATTGTGCCTGAAATATTTTATCTAATTATTTATTTTTGTTCTTTGTTGCATTGTTTTACTTGTGCTCATTGTGGACTGTTTTAATGAAATATTATGTGATATTTACAATCCCTGTTAAACCCATCCTTTAAGTCAGGACGCCCAGTGTCTGAGGTGACACTTGTGTGGCTAAAAATAAATCAGGTCGGCCAGAAAACTCATTCATTTCATTACAGCAGCTCCAATTCAATTAAAGGATATGGCGTTTGTTTGAAAAGTTTTCTTTCTAAACACGGTCACCGTCAAAACTCCTTATAGTGTCTCTGTTATTTCTGCTGGAAGAAAAAGGCCCATTTGGGAAGTATCACATTGTGAAGTGAATTTAGATGAAAAGATACGAATTTAGAGTGCGCAAAGAAGGCAAATATCCCTTTAAATCCATACATGTAGTGCAAGTATTTATAATGAAGCAGGTATTCAAAGAAAAGAAAGGCCTGCAAGTCGATTTGGCATTGTCTGGAACTTCTCCTTCCACTGCAATTTAATCCTTTTAAACAGAAGCAAAGCGAGAAATAGATAAAACTACAATGTTTGTTTCATTTCGGTAAAGGTAAATGATTAAAAGACTAAAGGTATATCTGTTTTAAGGTGTGTATATATATATGTAATTTGCAATGAATTCGTTTACAAACTTGTGAACTTGTGCGCTTTCTTTGCAAAAAGAAAATAAATAATAAAACCATGACTGCGCGCTGTTATTGTGATGCTGTAAGGCCGCTTATTTATTTATTTCTTAAGATTTTTTTGTGCTGCTGTCACTCCTGCACTGTGTAATTACACCTCGTCTGTACGTCTCGTGTATTTTACAACAATTCCCTTTCATTAATAAAGTGGTAAGCGATGTAAAAGCCCACTGAGCCCACCTATTGTCTCCCAATGCTGCGCATCATTACACACTTTATAATGTGCGTAATGACGTCTCATATCTCCGAGTAAATCAGGTCAGTTTTATTACATTTGATGTAGTTGTCTAATCAGGATCAAGTAACCTAGGTGTGTCTCCCTGATAGCTGTACGTTTTATTTTTTTAAATCCACCTTAAACGAACAGAACGTCTGACAATGACGACATTAAAAAACACAAACAAACAAACAAAAATAAAACCAAATGAAACTGCCTTATAAGGAGCATTGCGAATGACGAGGAATCATCATTTATGCTGCGATGTCAACTTAAGGCCTGTCGGTGCTTTAGTTTTATTTTTCTAACCCTTAAACATTATAATGAGAGATGCTTGTGCAAAATCACATGCGTATTAAAAGGAAGCATCAACATACATCTTTTCCCGCATTTGCAAAAAAAACAAGGACATAATTAGTGCTTATTGTGCGTGTGTTTGTGTGTCAGAGAGAGAGAAAGAGAGAGAGAGAGGGAGGGAGAGAGGATGGGTGATACAGAGAGAGAGAGAGAGGAGATAAATTCACCTGCAATGATAAATGACTGACACTTCTGACATGTTGCTGCGGTTGCAAACCAACAAGTACAGCTCAGGACGCGCAAACACACACGCACACGAGTGCTCCAAAGGGCACCACTTGGACGCGCTGACTTAATTTAATTCCCAGGAGGCCTTACAGTGCTATCCGCATTTGCTTCGCCCTCTGACTGAAACTTCAACCCAACCCCAATTAACACAGGAACTAATATAGCTCACGTCACATCGTGCGCTGAGACTGCAGCGAAGCTTAACGTTGTACCCAAATATCGACACGCTGGCCTCTGTCAACTGGTGTTCATCATAAATGCGCCCCCAAATACGGCCTGTGACTGCACACCACTTCCACTTTTTCCTCCTCCACCTCTCCACACTAAAACCCATCTTCACTGACCTGGTGACAAATTAAAAAATAAAAAAAAGCTGTGCGCAATTACGCACGAAGTTTGTGGTTAAATAAATACATGTATCATATATGCTGGGCCTGCTGCTCATAGAATGCACACTTTGCCTTAATAAAGAGTTTTAAATTGTTTCTCAAAGCATCCTTCTTCATTTAAAAAGAACAACTGTTAAATTGGCCATAAAGGTTGTGATAAGACAAGGAAACACCATCACCGAGTTGTTCAGATCGTGACAAAGTGGCCTAATATTCAGCGTCTATTATTGTGTCAAATTAAACTTGTTTTTTTTTTTTTTAACCATTTTGCAAATAACAATATTGATGACCGATCTCCTGCCTCCCTACAGTCTGTCGCAACAACCTTCTCTTTGCCCACAACGCTGCACAGCGACTAAACTTACCGCACCACCTCAAAGAACTGAACTCTGACCTCAGTCCAAATATTGCTACGTCTCTTCTACGCTACGGGCTCCGCTGAGGCAGGTTGGACGAGTGTTCTTAAAGTATATTATCCTTTACAGTACAGGCAACAATGTACAAAGAGCAGTGAGAAGAAAAGAAAGAAGAAGAAAAAAAAACTGCTTCCTTCTCTGCGGATCAATATCAGCACAGCAGGAGCCGAACAGGAACCGACATCGACACACTGTGTGGAGCTGACCTTTCCCACTCCCCACAGGTCATACCTTCCTCAGCCGAGGAGGTCACCGGGCCAGCCACTGAAGGCGCCATTAAGAGGTGATTTCAAGTGCTAAATATTCTGCATATAAACCCACATTTTTCCCCCTCAGCCCACCAGCCACCGCACTCTTTTCTCTTAAAGCAGTTTGGACTGGCAGATACATGAATATGTGAGGTGCACCATGGGAAAGGAGCCTAACAGGCTTCTGAAAGCATTTTAAAGAGGCACAAAAAAATATTTTATTAGGTTCTAATAGATTTTAGTTGATATAATTACCTGCTTGTAATCAGCATGGCTTCCCCGGAGATCCCCAACAACCTTTACTTTTTATATTTACTACACGAGCAGTTTGTGTAATGTTGCAGCTCTGGAAGACAGAGTGCCACTTTGCTGCTGTTTCTGCGGAGACTCGGCCTCGTAACGAGTCCCTCTACGTGTCTGCTTTGCTCAACATCCATGAAGCACGACGCATGTTAACAATAACGACAGCAACTTATTCGCTCAGAAGCATGCACAATTAGCAGAGGCCAGGAAACCAGCAGCCAGCTGACAAACACTCACTTCCCTGCTTAATACAAATGCAACCTTATTATTTTTATTTTTTATTTTTTCTTTGGCCTGTAGCTTGACAACATTTGTGCCTGTTTTTCCTCGGAGAGCCTCACATCCGTGCGCGCAACGCAACACAATAATCTGTCATTATCTTTAATCACAGCACCGCAAACCGTCAAATTCAAACACGCCCGAAGCGCTTTTTTTTTTTTTTTTTAAAGCCCATCTAAATTAACAGCAATAGGACGACGAGAGCATATGGTCATCTCCCAGAACAGGTTCCAAAGTGGAGCAACGTAGATGCTCTCCTGGATGGGAGGACTAAGCCGAGTCAAGCTCAAGTTCACGGCTGTTCCTGCACTAAACTCCTGTGCAGTGAAGTGTCCGTGTGTGTGTGTGTGTGTGTGTGTGTGTAGAGAGAGGGGGAGGGGTTTCCATTTAACAGGCTGTGTTTTCAAATAAACTCTGACATGGTTAATATATAAAGTGACATAAGATGATGATGTATGGAGGAGAGAAGGTTTGTCCACACTCAAGTGTTGCATGTGCTGAGTGTGCAAGAGGGATTTAGGTTTTTTGTTTTTTGCTTTTGTTTTTGAGGTTTTTTTTTTCATTTGATTTAAAAATAAATAAATAAATTCTTTAACTGTTTTTTTTTTACTAGTTTGAATTGAAGTCGTCCTATAAGGTATGGTTTATCCTCAAGAATATTTAAACTGTGGTCGGCACACTTAAAACTCCCCAAAGCTCCTTGTTTATTCCAGCACCACAACAGCCATGTTGTTTAGGGCCTGTAAGCAGGCTTTGCAAAGCTTGAGGTAAAACACCATATTGTTGCTCAGCCCAAACACAAGACCCTCAGTATTTAAAAGGAGGTGGTGGTGACTACGTTAAATGTCTGACAGCATCAATGTCTCAAAAAATCCCTGATTAATTCACAAAACAAGATGCAACCCATTACAAAAATAAAAAGAAATAAGAAGAAACTGCACCCAGCGAGTACAGAAAAGGATGAAAAAGCAAAAGAATATTTAGCACTTGCAACACCTTTTATTATATTTGTATGCAGTAAAATTCTTATCACAATAAGGAAGAAAACACCTCTTAAAACTTTGAACAAAGCACAGAACGAAACAACTGCCCATGTTTAGCTCGTAATTGTACATATTTATAGTAAAGAAACATTCTTTATAAATACTGTTTCATCTGTAGCAAGTAAATACCATAATTTAATTACAAATGGATAAATATGGCAGTTGATATTTACAAAAGGAAGGGTGTAGTTACAGAAAATCCAACGGCACAACGTTTATTGTCCTCACAATCTTCCAGATAGTATTTCACAATTCAAACTTGCAAAGCACAAAACATCACAAGTTAAGCCCAGCAAACTAAAATATACATTCACAAGCATAATATTGTGGTCTGTTTGAGTTAAATGTTAACTTTGGCACTCTTTCCAGTTTATAGATGTTTAGTATAGTACAATCAATTTGCCTTAGGATCACAATATTCAACATTATAGTACAATTTTTATCGTAATATGTGCACTAAAAGTCCAGTTAGAGAAATAGCTACCATTGAAGGAACATCTATACACCAAAGACTGACAAACTATCACAACCAATGGGAAAGTGGGTGTTTTTTTTTTTGTTGTTTTTTTTTTAAGTAAGTATTTACAATATGAAATACACCTCAAATAATATACATATTTTTCCTCTGTTGGTAATCCTCATCTTCCCTGTCGACTCAGAAAAATAATAAAATTAGAAAATAAACGCTTGTGTGCCTCTCCTGTGCACGTGTCCCAAAAAAAATCTCCTGCTTGAATGGCCTCAGTGCTGTGAAATGAGTGTGTGTTGCTTCATTTTCAGCTTTAGTCCTACACATACCATTCACTGAAATTGGAGGACAGGCCACTGTGGCTGGTGGTGTTGTGCACAGCTGAGGCTGGAGACAGGGTGGTGTTGCTTTGGGTCTCAGTGGTGGGAGACACCAGGCCTGGAGGCGTGGAGGATTCATAACCAGAGCTGGCTGCTGGTGATGAGTCTGATGCTGGTGGAGAGGATTCATGGACCTGGGAATGAAGAAGAAGAAAAAAGAGAGAGACACAAAGTATTTACAATCTGGTTTATACATGGGCGTAAAAAGTCAATTTGGATGAGAATAAATGCTGTAAAATGTAAAAGTATGTGAGCACACAACAAACATAAACAACACACACATGTTTCCTGCAACAAGCTACTTACCTTCATGTGTTTTCGTAGAGAGCTGGGATGTGTGTAGGACTTGTCACACATTTTGCAGAGATATGGCTTGTCAGACGTGTGAACATGCATGTGTTTCTTTCGGTCGCTGCTGTTTGCAAACCTTCTGTCGCAGCCCTCAAACTCACACTGGAACGGTTTCTCTCCTGCAGGAAGAATAAGGGGAGAAAAAAAAACAAGAAACACCGTCAGATTTTTTTTCTCTGACTAAGAACGCCTCAGGCTGAGTGTGTAACAAGCAGGGATTGTGTAGATCGCTCACATTCAATTGCAAAAGTTGAGTGCAGACTACCTACTATGCATGTGCTCTCTCTAAAAAACTAAAATAAAGCTCAATTCTCAAACAACTCCTTGCATTATCCCCAATTGTTATATGCAAAGTGTTTTTTTTAAAAAAGCCCCCTCTTTTAAAAGCTGAGATTTGGAGGGGGGGAGTTGCTGCATCTTATTTAGCCTAAATAATGCGCATAGTGATTTGGAGAGGGGGGTGGGAGAAGAAGGCGACAAGGCCGTCCTTCGTAGGCCCTACAGAAGGCATACCATTTGCTGAGGAGACAATAAAAATCTAATTAGCACCTGAGCAATTTCATGGCACGGCACCATAATGTATTTCCCAAGAAAATAAGTCCAAATGTGAAAGGCTGGTAATGGCCCTGTCTGGCACCTTGGCTCATATCAAAAGGGGACGCATGAGAAAAACAAAAGGCATTCCTCGCAGCAGCACTACTGCTGTGACCAAATCCACACACAACTCCTAAAACAAACATTAAGCAGGAATCCATCCAGAGCTACATACTTTTTTAAAAAAAATAATAAGGCCAAAGTAAGAGGAAAAATCTATATGGAAACGTGCGTGGGTGGCAGAGGGGCAGAGATGTGAGCCTACAAAAGCGCAGATATGATTTACTACGCTGCTCTACGACGCACGCAACGCGCTCCCGCCGTCCCCTTTGACCCATTTCTAAAGTTTGCTCCCAACAATAAAACGCAGACAAACCTGGTTAAATTGTTCTGGACAATGTTTTTGTTTCCCCTCCATCAGAAAGAATTGTTCGAATGCGGCTGTGCAGCGAAAGAAATGAATTATCCCGTCATCCTGAACGCATTTCCTCTCCCTCCTGGACGTGTTCCTAAATCTGCTTTAACTGTTTCTACGAATACTATCTGCTTTAGCAGCCTAAAATACCCGCTGGTAATTAGATCTCAATGTGTGTTTGTCTTGGCAAGACGCATATTTACAACAACGGAATAAACGCACATGCACGCTCAGTGACAACAATTACATCATTCTTGCTATTTAAATAAATCAGAACAAAACAAATAAATAAATTGGGAAAACACGGTGCTGGTAATTTTTTTTTACCTGTGTGCGTTCTCTTGTGGATCTTCAAGTTTTCCGACCGTGCAAAGACCTTTCCACAGCCGGGGAAGGGGCATGGAAAAGGCTTCTCTCCAGTGTGCACCCGAATGTGGTTCACCAGTTTGTATTTTGCCTTGAACGGCTTGCTCTCCCGGGAGCAGTCCTCCCAGAAACAGACGTGGTTGGTCTGCTCCGGTCCACCGACGTGCTCTACCGAGACGTGCGTAACCAACTCGTGCATGGTGCTAAAAGTTTTGTTGCAGCACTTCTTGGGATTGCTCAGCTGCTCGGGGTCGATCCACTTGCAGATGAGCTCCTGCTTGATGCACTGCTGCCTCATGTAGCGGAAAAAGGCACCGGGGTGGTGGTGGGCTGCCATGTTCATCCCCATGTTCATATTCATCGAGCCGTACTGATTGTGGAGCTGCGCGGCCGAGTACGGGTCGGTCCTCGGGCTGGAAACCTGGTGATACTGGTCGGAGCGTCCGAAAACTTCTCCGGGTAGTCCGAGCCTCATTTGGCCATTCAGGACGTTCGGGGATCCGTGCGAGCCATGCTGGTCGTGGATCCCGGGGAACAAAATGTGGCCTTGAGTGTCTGTGTGGGAGTGATGAAGGGATCCCGCCGTGGGGCCAAAAATAGTATGTTGGCTGCTCGCCGGAGAGGATTCTCCGAAGCCGCGACTACGAAAGAGAAAGTCCCTGGTGGAGTTGAAAGGCGAGCTTGCATACGACGTGACATGGGCGGCGTGAGCCCCTAAAGCCGCAGCGGGGTAGCCCGGCGCCTGGGTGGTGAAGGCAGAGCTCTGTCCCGGAGAGAGATCATGGTTCAGCTTAAACGCACCCATGTGTGCCGAGTCTACAAAGCTATTTTGTGCCAAACTCAAGTCTCTCTCCTGCATCTCGCTGGCTGAGTGATGCCTGGCAAATGAGCCCACTCCCAGTCCGGGGAACTGGTGACCAGCATCCAGTAACATTATTTCAGAGAAGCGGTTATTTTTTGTCGTTTAAACCAGCGCAGGACTCAAAGCTACAGCGAGTAAGTTAAAGGAAGAAGAAGAAAAAAAA